TCTTGGATGAGCGTCAGTCTACTGAAGATACTTCTGTGCCTTTCAGCCGTATGTATTTGGACACATTGCGATCAAACTTTGCGCTAACTGGTGTTCCTGGTCCTTTAGACATTTTTCTGCCTGAGCATAGACGACTTTGTGCGAAATGGCTCCTCACGGCGAGACATGTGGATTGGGAGATGGTTGAGCAGAAGTGCAAGACACAGTTTCTGGCCCCAAAGCTTGCTGGACTTAAATCTCTTCTACACAAAAAGGCTCAGAAAGCTCTTCTTGAAAAACGCCTTCGTCAGTATTTGTTTTGGAAACAGCTTCCTGCAAGGCGCATTCATGCCAAAGCCCCTGATGCTACATGCAGAGATGCGCTACGGGCAGTGGTGTTCCGATGCATTAATACTTGTTCTTCCTGGACGACTAGCGAAAAGCACTGGATCCGCTCACAAGTTCGCATCCATACTGGAAAAACGATGTCTTTCAAAGGTCTTTGGAATCACGTGCGCTGCGCGCGGTCCGCAAGTACAAGTGTGGTATCTGAAACATCGACGTCTTTCAAGCGTGAGGTTTTACTGGGGAAGAAAATGAGGAAGAGTGAAAAGAATTGGGATGTCCTTGTTCGACCAAGCAAGACTGAAAGGTGTGAGGCCATTTGCAAGGCTGCTGTTGACGCCATGAAACCGGTTTGCACCTTGCCCTCGCGCGCTTGTGTGACTAGCACAGCCAAGGTGACTCTTGAGAGATCTACGGCGTACTGCCGAGAAGCACGTCGCAACCAGCTTTCTCAACGTGAGTACTCTGAATACACAAAGGATATGTCTTTTTCTGCTAAACATCTTGCCGTGGTTCCAGATGATAAAGAGCGAAAACATGCGTGGTATTTGACCCCAGGAGCGTATCAGTTATTGTGTATCCTTTTTGTACTTACGGCAAAGACTTGGTGTTTTTTGTCCACCTCCTGTGCTCATGCAAACAACTTGGTGGTGCGAAGAGTCCTTCACATGCTTGGCCCAGGGTTATCGACGAGACTAGGTATTTCTCCCTGCACCTGGCTTCTCCCATATGTCTATTGCACTATTAAGTCAAAATGCTTTTTGTCCGGTTGCAAAAGTGTGCGGATTTGTAAGGAAATTGGCCATAGCTGTGCTCGTAAGATCTGTTCCTATGTGAAGTGGCCTAGGCGCATTGTGTGGAAAAGGATTCACAGGTGTGCAGAACTCCTTGTCAAGGAAATGAGACCTGGTGCTGAAACTTGGGGTCTTCGTGATGCCGCAAAACGATTAAAAGACGGGTTGGCCTTCTTACAGGTTGGTGAAAATCCAAACTTATGTGCGCGGTGCTGTTGTAGGAAAAATGCCTTGACTGTTGTGGTTGCAGATGCTGGTCAGTTTTACGAAGAAGTGAGCTCAGAAAAAGCTTGTTTTGCATTGAGTAATATAGTCTTGGAGGCGCGGCTTGCAGGTTGGACGCACGTGGCAGTAGGCCGCAGAAAGCGAAGAAGAGCATTTTTGTCAACAAAACCCGGGGGCCAGAACAGTGCTTATTTCTGGTTTTCCCTAGAAGATATTCTTCGTGCTTTCTTCGGGGCTATGTGTGTGTCCTTGGTTTCGGTGGGGCATCTTGTTGCACAAATGCAAGGTTTGCCCATAGGGGGCTTAATGTCTAAAGTGGCAACATCTGCAGTTCTGGCTACAGAAGAGGAGGATTGGCTAAAAAATCAAGCTCGTCGCTTTGCGCATGGTTTCCCTTTTTCAGATCGCTCCTGGCCCTCCTGCTGCCTGCATTTGCGGTATGATGATGATGTCCTTCTTGCCTCACGACTCCTGTGTCGCAACTGTATGTGCGAACTTTTGCCTATTGTTTACTGCGTGAACTTCAAAGTTGCTGCTCCGGACCGGTTTGTTACTTGGCTTGATATGGTTGTTGATTGTTTTACTGGTGAAATTTTCCCAAAACCCCGAAAGTTTTCTACACCCCCACCTTGGGGTACTTACCCTGTGCTTCTGCGATCACTAATTTTGGGCGCCCTTCTCCGTGCAGCTGAAGTGTCGTCAACCGACAGAGCGGTGCGTATTTATATGATGAACATCCTGGTTGGGTTGCTCGAAATTGGTTGGTCAAAACGGCAAATCTGTCAGGTCCTATTCACAATTTCTCGACCGCACCTCAAACAGCACATTTGGTTTCTGAGGAAAGCCATCCGCAGCCGTGAGTTTCTCCAATTTGCCAAGAAATAGGTGGATCTGTCCTCTTTGATTTGACTGGCCCCTGCTCATGTTTCCCAAGCTTCGTGGCTTGAGCCTGCTTACCTTATTGGCATGCAGCTTTGTAGTCGCGGCCGATGCTACGTGGAATTCAAATGAGTGGACAGGCTGGTCTTCCAAAGGCTCCCAGGGGTATGACAAAGGATCTTACCGGTCAGGGAAAGGTTGGCAGAAAGGAAAACCCTTCTCATCTTCTTCTTCGTCTTTTTCTTTTGAGCGTGGCTTTCTGGCTGGCCAACAGATGGCACAATCACAGTCAGAGGGGCCTGAAAGACGGCGACGTCGGCGCCACCGCCGTCACACAGCTGGGGACAACTCTGATACGACGACACCTGAGACCACCCCTGAAAAGCCAAATCACAAGATGAAAAAGATGAAAGAGGAATTACATGAACTCCGCAGTTTTCGTGATCAAATGAAAAAAGCAGAAGAAGAACAGGCTAAGGCCCAGCAGCTGAAAGATCTGGAGGCAAAAATGATGGAGCGCCTTCAACTGGCAACCGGATCTTCGGCACGTGCAGCGGCCTCGGTGACGCCAGTGAGTGTGACTGAAGGGACAAATCATGAGTTACAACCACTGCAAAAACGCTTGTCGCGGAAGCTTTTTCAAGATTTCGATGCTGAGTTCAACCCTCAGTCCTGGGATGACATTGTTTCCATGACGGAGAGCCTCACAGGAAAGCAAACTAGTGATTTTTTGCACAAAGAGAACCTCGGAGTGCCCCGTGGATTGAAAGATCGCACGGCTGCTGTACTCAGTTTCGTGAGGGATGAGCTGGGCATGTCTCCACCGTCGCTCTGAATTTCCTCTCATGGGCTATCAGTGGCCTTGCCCACCCGAGTGACTGGAAGTTTGGCGATTTGTGCTTTTGTGGCGGGGTTTCTGTTCGCTTCAATCTTGTCATTGGCATCCAAAACATCTTTGCTTCCCTGGCCCATCAGTGATGCATGTGAATACATCTCTGCACTTTACATTTTTAGCCGGGATACTGCTGGGATTGGTGGCTTGCTGGAAATGACCGGGTTACAAGCAACACCCGTTGCCAAGATGAGCCTTTCTTTCATGTCAACATGTGGTGTGAGTTTATTGTGCCGATTTCTTTCCTCTCGAGGGATCTTGCCTTCCTTTTCATTACCATTTCTCTCACTGAATGTGAGTCAGTGAATTTTTGACCTTGGTATTGAATGCGATTGTTGAGTTCATAAAACTGAATGCCAGAACAGTTGCACATTTTGATTCAGTCAGCGTTCATCAGGCGCTGAGATTTGACATATACATACATGTATACTTTCTCCGGAATTTTTGATCAAGGTTGTGCCAGGTTGGTCTGACTTGACCATGGGAGTGCCGGCACCAAGCGGGGCTAAAAACGTACGCTCCTGCCCGCACCTGGCGACATTCCACACCCCCGGCTTGAAAAGAGGCGTGCTTCAGACTTCAGGTTTTTCACCCTGGGGGTTCGGGGTGGGAAAAAAGATGGTAAAATTTGAAGATGCGTTTTGGAGGTCCTAAAATCGGAAAAAAAATGCCGTTTTGACACATTTTTCGGGCGATTTTTCGCTTTTCGGAAGTCACAAAATGCTGTAAATTACGACATTTTTGCGTTTTAACGTCGTTGGCGGGAGCCATGCACAAACGCAGAAAATGCTGTAAATACCAATACTTTTTGGACCCGAGATGCACAAAACACTGCAAATACCAGTGTTTTTGAAAGCCAAGGAAAAAAACACTGTAAATTACAGCATTTTTGGCGGGTTGATCGCAAAAAATGCTGGTATTTACAATGTTTCTGCAATTTCAAGCAAACGTGGAAGGCACGAAACACTGTAAATAGCGGTGTTTTGGCAACTTTTGGACGCCGAAACGCTGGTATTTACGCAGTTTTTTGCTTGTGACGGGGCCACTCCCCTGTAAATTACAGCATTTTTTGCACTTTTTGAACCGATTTTTTGTCTTGCTGCATGCAACAAACGCTGGTATTTACACGTTTTTCAAAAAATCGAAGATCGTGATGTGAACGAAACTCTGTAAATAAGAATGTTTTAGCCACTTTCGGGGACTAAAACTGTTGTATTTACACGGGTTCTTGCCATCTCACAGCGCAAAATGCTGTAAATTACAACACTTTGTGCGCATAGGCATAGGCCAACATAGCCTCAAGATGGGCCAACATAGCCCCAAGCTGGGCCAACATAGCCCCAAGATAGGCTGCCGACCCTCAGCATGTCATGTTCGCAAGTTCAGATGACATCCCCCTCTCTCTTTCCCTCCCCCGACCCCTACCGGCGTCGCCGGTGTGCGAAGCTCTACAATATTTATACTTATACACATTTATATAGAGTATGCGTGTACAATCTACGTTCATGCCTTTCTCCTCTCTCTCTCTCTATCCATCTGCAGGTGATTTTATGGCGCCAAGGCCCCACTACAAAATTGGGGATTCTGCAGGGATTTTCACTGCCATAAAGCATCCATAAAAACCCAGGCTGGTTGGTTGTAAAAATATGAAAGTCACTTGGGATGATTATTCCCAATATATGGACAAATAGAACATGTTCCAAACCACCAGCCAGCAAGCTATATCAAGCTATTGGAGTTTTGTGAAAAACCTCACTTAGCTATCGTTAAAAAAGGCGCCATTAGGATCCATTAGGCGCCTAGAAATTCCTACAAAAATTGAACATTGAATGGATATGAATGGATCAAAAAAAACCAGGTACCACCTCTCTTCAGAACCGAGTCGCAGGGAAATCTCCTTGCCCCAGGACGTTCCTGCCACCAGGTACACCCGCGCATCTAACACTGCAGCTGCACACCTGGCTTCCGGCATGTCTGAACTTGGGGCGTCATGGGTCATGATTTTTCAGCGGACAAAACTAGGGGTACCCTATGTTCAGACCAAATCATTACAGCAAAGCATTTCCAAAAGGGCTTTTACCCTCTGGTAATTGTACAAAAAGCTATTGAAAATGACCATAGTGGATATTTTCCCATTGAAAATGGTGGATCTTTCCATAGTTATGTAAACGTTTACCAGAGGGTAACTGCAATATACTACAATAAGATTTGTTGATGACACGTCTGGAAGATTCCTGAACATGCGAGTCTGCTGAGGAAAGTGAGCAATGATATGGGACCGTTCACAAGCCCTTCACAAGGCAAGCTGACAACCGGTACATCATCCCTGTGCCACATCAGTAGGGTACATTTCGGGAACCGTGACAACTGTACCCTCCAGTAAACTAACATAGCTATTGAAAAATGCCATTTGTAGTTGATGTTCCCATTAAAAATGGTGATTTTCCATAGTTATGTTAGTTTACCAGAGGGTAGCATCTGAGACTGGTTTAGGAATGACATCCCAATATCCCACATCTTTAGCCTTTGGATGCTACTAGAACCACTTTTTAAGGAGGTTTGCCGCAATGCCCTCTGGTCATCACAACGAATTTCAATTCGGGTTTCCCAAGGAAATCTCAGGGTTTCCGATGGTTTTTCCCAATGGATTGGTAGGGAAAACCCAGAGGAAACCAGTAAGTACCCCGGCCGCCTTCTAAGTGGTTCGACTTCGACTTCGGGTTCGACTTCGGGTTCGGGGTTGGACGGGGAAGAAGAGAGGGGAGAACCGCGGCCACCTCGGAAGTGGTTCGACTTCGACTTCGGGTTCGGAGGTTCGCGAGAGTTGTACTGCGGCACTTGGATGACCGACCCTGCTTGCATCTAGATAGCTCAGTTGCCTCACATAGCTCTTACATGCATGTGACATGCATGTGCGCTAAGTCGAGATAGCAAGTCTGCTAACAAGGGTTAGCAGACTTAGCATGTCTTCTATGTGTGCTAAGTGAGATGCATGACTTGGAACACATGCTATCTATATGCATGTGTATGCTATGTAGATAGTATGTAGGCTAAGTAGATAGCTCACATAGTATCTACTTACGGCGCACTTAGTGTCTAGATAGTGCCTACTTAGCTAAGTAGGCTAAGTAAGATAGGGTCTACTTAGCCCACTTAGCTAAGTAGACATAGCAGACATAGACTATGTGGTCTAAGTAGGCTAAGTAGGGTTTTGGGCATACAGTTGAACCTTGGATTTATATTCGAAGGGAGAATGGTTTTTCGTTTTGAAACTGATGATTTTTCAAATTCTTATGTTGCAGAGAGGTTACGTTGGACAAAACACAGCTTCGTTGTTTGTTTATTACCTATGAAATTCATGGTTTTGATGATGGCCGCATGTTTTTTGAATAAAACCACGCACCAATATATACAATAGAAACCAGTTGTTGGCATCTCGTTTGTTTGAATCTTCACATGCAATGAACCACAGATTTTTGTTGTCACATGTGAAATTCAGAGTCATGAGGTTTTTTTTCTGGAGACAAAACAACAAACCAAACCAACAAAAATATATTGGTTTTATTTTTTTTGGGTTGAACCCTTAAATATGGGGTCCGACCGCCCCGCCACGTGCTTGGCGCGCGCAATCGAGAACATCATGTTCCACGAGGTGCCATTGGGTGGGATGGTTATATAGTTATGCTTGCATCTCCTTTTTGAGGCATTGAACGAACATCTTGATTGGACATTGTTTGCAATGGTTATTTATAGATCTTTGATTTTCTTCTCTGCAACTTGTGTTATGTATAGCTGAACGGATTTTCTGATGAATCGAGCTGTGAACAACTGCTGTCACCTGATCACCTGCGAGTGTTTTTTGATCATCTGCCTGAATTTTGTTTTTTGGGCTCATATTTGCACACGCAGGGCGTCCAACGCTCGTGTGTGCTAGATTGCAGGGCGTCACACGCTCGCATTCCCTTGCAGCCATGAATCAGGCTGCCACCGATGAGATAGATGCTGCAGTGAAGGCAGCAAAGGCACCAGGTGCTCCACTGGTGAGTTCCATCAACCGGGTGTTCACTATTTTGCGGTCCCACAAGCTCATGCTGGAACAGCAAATAGAGCCAAGCTTCATTGGCATCCATGGCATGAACAGGGATGGCCATGGAATCGCGTGGAAAGACGCAGAGCGTCTTCTGCAGGCCATCCTAGATGTTGGCTTTGATGCAGGATCGGTGATTCAGCCCACCTGCAGTGAGCGCATGCCTGGTGACAATGAATCCCATGTCTTCAATGAAAGAATCTCGCAAGAGTCCCGTGGCCGTGTCCCATCGATCTCTGACCAGCATCTGAAGTACTTGAGCCTATCCTGCAGCCACCTCAACACCACTCTGCGGATGATTGCAGCTGGTGCCAAATGCAGCGAAGAGCTGTCATGCAGTGAGAACGGAAGTATAAGCATGCACAAGGTCGAGAAGAAAGATCCAACCTATGCATCCTATGCCAGGAGTGGGCTGAGGTGGAATGTCATCAGCCACCATGTGATGAGCAAATGGCCTGAATTGGCACAGCTTGTCCAGGCAGCCCTGAACACAGGGAGCGCTGTTGCGAAGGAGGAGCACGAGATGCAGATACTCCTGAGGATCGCTCGCAAACTTTCTGCAGGCCCATGCCAGTGGGACCAGGTCAAGCAGGAGCTGCAGAGAAGCAAACCGAGATGCATGCAAGCAATGCCGCACATGTTCACATTCTGTGTCCTGTACGGATCCACATTGCTGGAACGCACCACCAGAATCGTGGCATCGTCGAATGCACCAAGAAGGAGTCTTGGGGCAGACTTCTACGATGCCCTGAGTCAGCAGCCGAAGCCGAAGGACAGCGATCCTTGGATCTACTTCAGGCATGCCCTTTTGGCCTGCGCCTACACGACCCCTGCAGAGAAGTTGATATCTGCAGGCGATGCCAGAAAGCTTGCAGCCAAGGGAGGGGCTGAGGGCATCGAGAAGGCCAATGGCCTGATGAAGGAGATCCACAACATGGTAGTCTCTATGGTGCCTTCTTCTCAAGTGCCCACCTTAGCACCACTCCTGGGGCTGTTTGAGTCGCAGCTGGTCTACTTGGCATTGGACAAGAAGCACAAGGACATCACGGTCATGTCGACCATGGAGCATGCCTGTTTGGCACTTTGCAAGGAGGTTCATGAAGCAGTTGGAATCACTCTGTCAAAGCAGTGGGACCATTTGGATGATCCCAGTGGTCAAACTGGCAAGGCCAGCGCAAAGCGGCTGAGCAAGCCGAGGGAGTATGACAGCACAGGGAAGTTGAAAGATCCCTTTGTGCTGCTCCACGAGTGTGGATTTGTTCCAGGTGCATGGATTGCAAGGAAGCAAGACAAGTTGGTGGCCAAGCTTTTGAAACTTGAGAACGACCAGGTGATCATCGAGTGCGATGGTGATCAATATATTGCCCAAATGTCGGCATTCCTGGAAAACAAGTGGAAGCTCACAGATGAGCCAAAGGCCAAGGAGGAAGCGGACCATGTGGCAAAGGCCGCCTTCAATAGCCCTGAGCTGGCGGTGGCTGTGACCAAAGGCAAGATCATGGAGAAGCTCATTGATTTAGAAAGGCAGCACAAGGCCTCCCTGAACAAGATCAAGGTCTTCACAAAGCCATCCAAGATGGTGGAAGCTTCTGCAGAGGTGGAAAAGGGGAAGCTCACCCTGGTGCCAGCCACAAACGTGGTGCAGGCCCACAATGAGCCGAGGAAGGGCCTGCAGCTGGGCATGTGCGGCACCGCAGACAGCCACTTCAGCCTGGGGGCTCCTGCAGGCAAGGTTGTCGTGCCGTGGTGGTACGTGAAATCGACCAACGACACTGAGAAGGCCAACATGGAAATCATTTCCGCGTTGGACCCACATGATCCCAACAAGAACCTGAAGGTTCCTTTGATGAAGAACAGCAAGCCCCTCGAGATTGGGGATGTGCTGATGCGATATGAGCAGAAGACTGAGGAGATCCCCGAGGAGTTAGTCCCAATGCCGGCTGCTGGATCAGCAAACCCAAAGTCTGGTCCTGCCCCGAAGAAGCGTAGGATTGGCAAAGGCCAAGGTGAGTAGAAAATCATGTCTCTGCCATGCCTTTACTGCCAGAACGTGTTCTTGCACGGCCTCAACCTCCATCTGCATGAGCAGAAGCGGCAGGTTTGTTTCTCATGCGACATCTCCAAATGATGTTTTCAATCGACATTGAAATCATTTCAATCTCATGTCACAATCATGTTGGATCGACAACCTTCACTGTTTTTAGAGATGGCGTGAGACCGGAATCTTGACATCTGTGGGTGTCTGACCGACAGGCAGGTTTTGAGTGGGCACAATATCGAGAAACAAAACTGCATCCTGTCCCAACATGAACGTTCCTCCATGCAATTTGTTTGTTTATAAACATTCTAGCGAGCCATCATGAGCCCTGCTAGCAGCAGGAGCGAGTCTTTTGTCAGCAAACCCTGCTTTTCCTGCTATTTGTTTGCACGCCATTCAGTTTAGCCGCAAACCAAACAACCTATCCTTTTTTATGCTTTTGCCATCCAGCGTGCATGTCACTCCAACCTGTAGCCAGGTTCACTTCTTTTCGATTCGCTTCCCATGGTACGCCCCCAGCCCGGCATGGGAGGGCCATGGGATTGATGAGTCAATAGGATTCAGGACCTTTTTTATTCGACATTCCTTGATGAGGTCAAAATCAAAACAGTCAACCGTGATGAAACTTACCATTGAAAAATGTTTTTGAAATCATGACGTCAAACTTTTAATCCTCGTTGTGACAGTTTTGGATTTCACGTTAAACAACCAAAACTTGTGTTTGGCCAAGATGTCTGAAAACATTCACATTGCTCGCAAAGATTTGGGTTTAGAGTGAATCTACAGTTTTTGGAGAAATTATCATGGAGAAGTTGGAGCGCCCTGCAGCTGGGAGCATGCCTGAGAAACATGAAGACCCAACAACTTCACAGGACTTCATGTACGAGTGTATACATATCTGCAGTGTGTGTAGATTCGAAACATGCCAACAATGTCAAAGTGTACATATGGGGTATTCTATAATGTGTGTTAAACCCAACCATGTTAACATTAACATTAAAACGGTCTTAAAGTTTTGGTTCAGGGTGGCTTGAGCACATCTGGAGGACAACCCAGAGTTCAAGACTGGTGACACCGCAAAGTTTCGTCAGCACATCTCCAAGTGGGCCGATTGGAC